TCATGTCCAATCAATTTAATTTACCACAGGTGGACTCCAATCAAGGTGTAGAAACAGCTCAACAATGGTCAAGAGAAATGGGAGAAATTTCAAGTGTTGTTCCAAATACTTTCCGAAAGCACTGTATAGAGCCCTATATGGCACAAGCTGGATTATTAGCAGGACTGCCTATCTGATTACTTCTGCCTATCCTACTAGGTTACCCAAGGTGGGCATGCTCCAGGTCCCATCTCTGAGGCTGTATCATCTCATGGGAACTGGGAGAAGTACCTTCTCTGTTACTGTGTCTGCCTTGGAACACGTTGGTAGCCCCAACCCTATTAGCCTTTCCTAGCCATGATGACCTGGCTCTTCTCCTGGGCATTGAGCTTTCATGGGCCCACTTTCCTGCTAGGAGAGTGAATGCTTGTTATGCCTGCCTCAGCTATATGACTGGGCTTTGTTATTTTGATTTTATCTGGTTTTTTATTCATTTTTTATGTCTTTGCTTTTTATTGATGTACACTGCCAGGAGTCATACATTATGAACTGGGCAGCCTTGCAAACCCAATACATGCATACATACTGGAACTGTTCTCTGCCCAGATTCCTTACAGATTTGGGCAGCCTTTAAACATAGCAAACCAACAAACCAACCCATTTCTTTTATTCATTTCTTCCAGTTTTACAGGTCTTTTCATACAACTAGATCCTAATATGGGACAAGAAAATGCTTGCAGGAGACCAGCAAGGGAGACATGGGGACTGACCTGATCTGCCAAACTCGGTTTCTTGGAGTATTTCCGATGAGAGGCACTATGTGCAATTACACAGTAGGGAGTGTGGTTTACAATACTCACTGCCACAGCAATGAGCTCTTTGTCAGCCATGCTTAGGTTGCCTGTGGAGGAAGAGAGTTGTAAAAAGTGAATAGCCAGGACAGATTCACCAGAGCCCAGGTAGATGCTGTGTATGAATTTTGGGCCCCCAAATACCATGCAATTGTACAAAATCTGCTTTTTAAAAGCATACTCAAGTTTTATTATACCAGTAGAAGCAAGAATAAGGTGACCTTTCTATAATTATACACTACCGTCTGCTATCATCTGGTGTATGTTCTTTAAATCCTGAAACAAGCCTCACTTGCCCACAAAGTGTATTGTACAAATACACATTAGAGAGTCAAAGCCGCAACAGGATTCACTCAAACGTCAGCCCACAGAAATCCTAAGTCAATGTGGACAGTCATTATGAACAAACAGGTTAAGTAAGATTCTAATCAAGCAAGAGTAGACTTGCATTCTCAGCATTATGCAAATGACCAAATCCTAACCGAAGCAAAAGCAGCCATTGTTGATTGGTTTTCTTAGAGGATGGAAGAAGGCCACAATAGTTATGCAGAGGTTTTGCCACTGATCTGACATTTTATAATCAAAATGAAACCAGAAATAAGCAAATTGGTGATGCCAAAACATAGAGCAATGCCATACAACTGTATATCTTTTCAGATCTGTTCTGCAATGATAATTCCCCCAACTATATTGTTACTAATTATTGTTGACCATTTGGTACCCTATTCCACACAGTATTAGAATTTAAACGACCATGTTGAAAAGTGACGACCCTCTTTGTCAGATTATAGCCATTCTTTAGGATTCTAAAATAAAATTCTGCTGTTGCGTTCTTATTCATGGAGGCGAGTCAATTAAGCCAGGGAGAGACATGCACTTAACAGGGGGAATGAGATGCTGTGGGACCTCTGCTGCAGCCAATTGTACTACCAGAGATAACCAGTTTCACATGTTAAGTTATAGCCTTTATTGTGAAAAGTGCCTTACTCTTGTGACATGTATTGGAAATTTTAATGAAATCCCCTCTTAGTTTCACAATAGTCTCAAAAAGGCCATCAGCCATCTTAGTAGGTTATAGCACTTGGCTGAAGAACATGGGAAACTGCATTTAACAGTTCAGAGCTAGCTCCCCATTGTAAGCTAGGGATCCTAGAACACTAACTGCTTTTGTATCAGAGCCCTACTGCAGCATCTTAAGAGGATTTTAAAGCTTTTGGGCATCACAGTAGTTTAATTATCTCTGTTGACTCAAACCTTTGCTTCAATGGTTCTTGAATTAAAGCTATATTCTTTAGGAACACATCTGGAATTCAACATAGTGTAATTGATTTAGAAAAAAATCTTTTCAAAGTATCCATGTTTGACTGCTATTCATACCTGTTTTCTTGTTCATGACGACATCGTGATAGGTAAAGAATACCCTAAATTCTTCTGGTCGATTAGCCATCACTTTAAACACATTGGGCAAAAACCCATTCTGAGAATCAAGGAGGGGGAAATAGTCAGACACCTTAAAATCACTATTAATGTAAGACTATCCAGTGGCAATATTCAGGGATCCAGAATTATTCTCCTCATTTACTAGCAAGACATTCTGGTGGGACTAGGGTTTCTTGAACCATAATATTCTTGATTTGTTGTTGCTTTCTCTGATAGTGCTCCTCTGGAAAGTAGCAGCACGAGTTTTCATTTTAAGACAGCTACCTCCCCAGCTGTAGGGGGAAGACAACCAACAACATAGCTTTGCTATGAAAACTCTCTCCTAACTTGTTCTTGATTCTCAACTTGTACATAAGATTAAGTGAGGAGAAGGTCAGAGGGAGAGAAATCAGGTGAGGGTCTGGCAGCCTAGTGGACACTAACTGGCTGAATGGAATTCTTGGGTCTCAAGAATATTTGCAAAATCTTTGAAACAGCAAGGTGGGGTTCAAACGCCAGGATGCTACTGAATGATGTCAAGTCTCTCTTTGCAAGGCAGCAAAAGTAGGAGCTGGGGCTCACAACCCAGGCTTTGTAAGCAGAAAATCCCAAATTCTCAGTGCAAGGATGTAAAGGATCAGGGAGTAGGTAAATGGAAAGCAAATGCCAGCTAAACAACATTGGGCTACGTGGACAAATAGGATGACCTGTTTTAAGGTAGCTTTTAGTAAATTCTAGCAAATGTTCTTTGCTCCAAAACAATAAGCCTGAAACTTAACGAAGAGAAATGGAGTTTGGCAGGTGCTCCATCACCTTGCAGGGTTTCAGTTACCGGATGGCAAGGAGGTTTATAGCAGGTTTCTGAAGATACAGGATTGATGTGCTTCTGGCTTGGTGGCATTGTAGGGCTACTGTATTAGTCTGAGTGACAATGAATGAGTAGCATCTGATCAAACCATTCATAGAGTCATTTCCCTTTGCCACCTAACTATGAAAGGCACCAGCTAACCTGGGAGAGCAGAGAAGGGCTAAACAAAAGTATTACCTTTCCGATCCTGTTTCTCATGTAACCACAGCCCTATTGTTGCACCTATTTTAAACCCAAAGACATAACTTAGCTGAGTAAGAAACATGTATTAGATAGCATATTAAACCCTTAGCTTTAATCAGCATTAAGTTCACATGTATAGTTAGAAACCAGCTGTTCCAACAAAGCAACCCCTTACAGGAATTGGATTAAGTTCCCTTTAATCTGAGAATGGTTGAAGTCTAGTCGAGTGTATAGAAAGGGCACTGTGTTGGGGAATGTTGATAAAAACAAAGATGCTACAAGCTTCTTTGAACTGATTTTTCCAACTGAATTTTACCTTCACTTTTGCTTCTTCCATGTGTTCTATTATATCATGTGGCAAATCTTTCTTATCTGGCATTGGATACCGTTCAGTTGGCTTGGTGGCGTTTTCTCCTTTTGTGTTGTATGCATGATTCATGGTTACACTTCGGTGTTTCCCCCCAAATCTCTCAGACATGGTACGTGGAAGAAGCTACAATACAGAAATATAGAACATCTTCCATTTAATAAAGTGCATATAACATGCAGTTCATCAGTGCTCCCCAAATTTAGTGAAATTAGAAGTGCGTTATTTATTGCCTGAAACACTTTAGCAAGTTCTTGTAATTCCAAGGGCCTGGATCTCCCTGCTCTTTAGTACTGCTGCAGGAAATATTTATTTTACTCACGTTGCCCACTTAATGGGAGAAACCCTTGCCAATGACAATTTGATGGAAGAACTGGGAGATGGACTACTGAAATAAGAAAGTTATTGAACATTTGCCAACTTTGGATCACTTATAAAAGAGGTAGAAAAAAGCACACACACACATCCGGTACTATATGCAGTAGAGTCCTTTTTTATTCAGAATGATTTCATTCTCGTAGGCTTTTAATAGGTCTTACTGTCTGCTGTGCAATGTTATCTAGACATTGCATAAGGGTCTGGGGAACTTAAAAGAATCATGACTTTGTTGGGTTTAAAGTGAATTGATTATTGGAACTACTTGCCTCAGAGAAGCAGCAGGGGAGTAAAGCAAAAACGTCCAGAATGAATGCACAGATTTAGAAGATTGCAACTACAGGTAGTCCTTGTTTAATGACCATTCATTCAGGGACAGTTCAAAGTTACGACGGTGGTGAACGAATCATAGTTACCAGTGGTCCTTGAAATTATGGCCATTGCAGCGCCCCCATGGTCACATCATCAAAATTCGGGCACTTGGCAGCCTGCCCACATTTACAACTACAGTGTACGCTTCAACTTCCCACACCCACCTATCTCCCCAGAAAACATGATCTGGTACAACCAGTGATTTCTTGCATAAGAGCCGTACTGGTCTTTTGGCAATGAAGCTGATATTTGCAATATTAGTCATTAGATTAACAAACATAGAGTCCTTTGAAGACTCCTTTTAGGTCAAAAGGAAAAGAGAAATGGTAGACTATGGATCACAGATTCAGAATGAAAACTGCAGTGAAAATAATAATTCAGGCAAAAAAACTTAGGTTTTATCCCAATCATTCCTGTTGACCCCCAGGTTAAATAGGTGGAGTCCCAGTTATATAAAATCTCTTAACTGAAATTTTCCCTGTGGCCTCCCCATTCCGCACCCTCCACTGTAATATAAATAATACAAAGTATCAAACCCTCAGATTATATGGAGGTCCCTTGATCATAGCTCTGAATCTGCAAACAGGTGTATTCAGAAGGTATCCAACATTTAAATGGTACATTGGGCAAAACCTTAAAACTGGCAGAGTTTACTGAATAGTATATTTAAATTCCACACACATGCACGTGCACACTAAAAAAACAGTAACATATTTTTAAAACATGGGTTTTGACCTCAGTGAGATTTCACATATACATTTTTACCAGACTGCAGGTACTTTCAATTATCTGCTTTGGTGATTCTAATAATCTCCTGAAGACTCCCACTTAAATCCAACTTTTCCAAAGAAAGTAGTAACAGTTCCTGCAAAGAGGTTACCTAGAGTTACCTACTTTAGTCCTCTGCTCTTGCAATATGCAGTTTCCCAATACAGAGTTCATCCAGTTGCAATAATCGCCAGGTACAATCTGTTTCTTAACACAACTATGCCCTGAATTTTGCTCTTAGCTACTCTGACTGCCCTCTCCCCAGAATGAAGACATCATCCAGGGGCGATTCGAGACCTCTTTCTCCACGTGACACCAACACGGAGAACCCCCTGCCTGTCCGTGGAGGGTCTGGGGTGGCCTGAAGACCTTAACCCAACACTGGTATTAGAGGAGGGGGTCAGCCTGTGGCCCTTTTAGATTCCCAGCCAAAACCGCCCAGCCCGAGAAAGAGGGAAGAGCTGATCTCCCCAGCTCCCATTTGTTTCCTAGTCCCATCCTAGACTTTCTGCATCGCCGTTGGGTGGCCACGGCGGTAATTCTCCACGGCGAAACCCAAAGCGGGTCTTCTCCCAGTCGCAGTTTTGTACCCGTTGCCCTTTACAGCATACTTGGACCCCTTAGAAGAAGCATCCAGTTGCAAAACGGAGGTTTCCTTCTACCTCGAAAGATTTCCTCAACGAATTGTCGCGCACATCTGAAAGGGAGGTTGGGAACAGCGCCAAGCGCACAAGAGAACTGGAGCAAACGGGGTGTTTGGGGAAAAATTCTCGCTCGACAAGACGAGAAAAGACGACCGAGTCCTGCAGAAGTGGCTAGACTGAGGGCAATCCTCACCAGAACGGATCCTCGAGTCCGGAGCTGCAGGAGGCTGCTGAAAAGCGGCTTCATTACGGCGCGTCCCAAAGAAAGAGCAACAGCAGACGGGCTTGGAGACCTTCGGGCTCCCAGTCTCGGAGGCGGAAGAAAGCGCGTCTAGCAGTCCGCCCCCTTCTCAACCCCCGGAGGAGAAAAATCAAGAGGAGCAAAATCAATTGGGCCAGAAAGGGGGAAGTTGCAGCCAATCCAGGAAAAGGCGAGAGGGAAAGTTATGCAACCGGCCCGGCCCGAAGCAAGTCCCTCGCCCCTTTCCTGCCTCGGTTAATGGGCTTGTTCCCTTGTGAATGACGGTAACATTACAGAAGGGGGCTTCAGATCAACAGCCACGGTGCCGTTTTTCCACTTTTTCCTCTAGAACACATTTTTAGGTTATTTCCTAAAGTCGTTTTATGTGTGTCTGTAGGTGTGTGCGCCTATGTATTTTTTCTTTCCCGGAGAATATCCATTCAAGAAAAAAATCTGGAGTCACTGTGAATGTATCATGTGTTTTGACAAGTAGAGGCAGTCTGGTGTGGTTTAGGTGAGGTAAACAGAGAGAAAACATGGGGAGTTAGAAACTGAAGATGATGGCACCATCTAGATCAGAACGGAAGCAAAAAGACCTCTGGAAACAGTCCTTGGGCTATGCTAATCTGTGGTCTAACAGCATGCAAGTAGCAGGTTGTCACATTAGGCCTGAATATGTTTTCATCAGGGAGAGACATCGCATATTATGTGAACGCTGCAATTGTACTAACCTTTATTAACACAAGCTTAAGGTTCAGGGAGTTATGTGTACTCAGAATGGGTGGTTAATGTGTTTCTGCATCTCCCTTTCTAAGATATAGATGATGTATTTAACATAAGCATGACTGATGCATACATGAAAGGGCAATCCAATCACAGATACAAAATAATTCAAAATATCTTACCCATAGGTGTCTAGCCATGCCTAGATGCATTCAGATATAGATTTACATCGGATATAAGTTAGGTCAAGAAAAGGGAAACGCTTGCCTTTGTCTCAGCGTGATCCTAGAGAGTGGCCAATCAGAGCAGACAGTGATGAGGAGATGGATCTATGCTTTAGATCAGGACCTTTGGGTATTCCTGTATCTGAATCAAGAAATGCTTATCTCCTATTCAGGAGTATCCTGAAGGATCCTGTGCATTTTTGTGAGGAGCAGATACCATTGAATAGATTTTCTGCTTAGGGTAGCATCCAGAGGAAAGGACAGACTTCTGAAACACTCTGTAAGACACACTTCTAGGCTGCAATCGCAAATAACTGGCAGATCTTGATTCTCTGCTGATATGCTCAGGAATGCACTGTTAAGAACACAAGACAAGCCTTGTAAGATCACAGAGTTCTAAAGCCAGCAGCCTACTTCCTGTAATGATCAATCAGAGGTTTCCGAGAAGACCACCTACTGGATAGAAGTAGGCCTACTCTGTTTTTTCTTCAAAGGTTCCATGTTAAGCTATAGCAGATGAGTAGGTTTGTAGGAGTTTCCCTGTTCTTGACTAGATCACAGAAGCCCACTCATCATAAACTCATGCAGCATTGTTTCTGAGCAGAGTTGGGTCAGATTCACTCAGGGATGGACCAGTTATCAACAATAACCTTTTCTTCCAAGAGTACCAGTACAAATCCCTATTGGACTTACTACAAATGTGGAATTCTAATATCAGGTTCTAAAATTGGACAGCAAAGGTGTAAAAACCATGATACAAAGGCACCCAACTGACAATGATACTCAGAGTGATTAATAACTGGCAACTGTCTCTTTGTGTTTGCGTGCATGTGTTTTACTTACAATTAAATCATTAAATCATTCATTTACAATCAAAACAACTTGGAAACCCAATATAGTGACTCAGAGATCTACCAGTAAATTCTTATCCATTTCTGCTCATTGCTGTTGTACGGAGAAGTATTATATTCATCTCCCAAATCTTAACTTGTTATAGATTGGTATTGCTATTCCAACATGCCATATAAGATCAATTTGTGGCAAAGGACCAGGTTAGGGTCAGATCATCATGGAGTAAATCTATGTGGTCACTAAGAATCGACACCAACTTGACAGCACATAATAAATCAACCTGCATTAACTGATGAAGAGAGCTTGGAAAAGGAAACCACTCACCCATGTTAATTTTTTAAAAATTAAATTGTAGCTGGCTTTAACATGGCTTTAATTAATTATACAATTTATAGATCGTCTGACCCCCCAACGACTCTAGGAGGCTTACAATTAAAAGTAAAAGAAAAAATTACAAAAGTCAAAAACAAATCATGAGTGGTCCTAAAAACAACGTCTTTGAGAATATGTTTGAGATTTGAAAACAGCATCTTAGCTTTTCATGAAGAAAGTAGGGGAACTAACTCAGGCTGACATTTCAGAATGGATGGCCAGCAGATCAAATTTAAAACTCCTCCCCCGTCGTCTCCCAATCAAAGAAACGCACGCTCCCACCCACTTGAACCAGACGATCCTGTCCCGTCGCCCACGATGAAAACTACAATTCCCAGAATGCGTCTCGTTCCCGCGAGAGGGAAGTGTCATGTGACGATGCCTTATAGATTAAGGAAACAGCCTAGCGTGGGATTGATGTTTCACAATTGAATAAAAAGTGTCCGGAAAAATAGAGGAAAGGCTGACTGAGGAATTGCTATCCAAGGGAGGTGAGTAACAGACGTTTGGTCTGAAGAATAATCCATGATTATTAAACTACTTAAGCGTTTTGGATGGTGCATATTCATGAAAGTTATCTATAAAGCACATTTTGCTTATATTTCTTCTGGATTACACACTGATTCTGTTTGTGCATTGTTACTTAAGAAGTCCTAAATAGAAACGGCCCTTTTAAGACGCTATATGGCGGGAGGAATTATGCGCTTCTGAAATTCTTACACAACTGTGACAACGTTTGAATACGAATGGGGTTTCACGTATCTGGGGTTGCCAGTGCATGATTCTTCCCTTTCTGTGCTATTAATTAGCACCTGTTAAGACCGGTTCACACATCTTACCACTTTCTGCATACACAGTGAATGCACAGAGTGAGTTATGCCCTCACCGCTTCAATGTTGGATTACTATAACATGCTTTACTTGGGGCTGCTTTGGAAAACTAGCCAGAAACTGCAGTCAGTACAGAATGAGGCTATCGTGCTGGAGGATGAGAACGGCTTCAGTAGCTGGCCAGTTCTGCCAATTAAATTCTGTGGTTCAGCATCTAACATCATTTTTTCTATGCTTTCACTGCAGTTTGGACAAAAAGGAAAAATGATGACCAACCCTGAGAAGAAAGTAGAGAAAAGTATCTGTGGAGATCCTTGTGATCAACAGCAAAACTATGGGGATGGAGATGGGGAAAACCTCTGGGACACATTTGAGCTTCTGGAAATTGATGGGACTGATGAAAGAGCCAGTGAACGGGTTACAGGAAATGAGAATTGGTGTTCGGTATGTAAAGTGGCATTCAGCCATTCGTGGAAACAGATTGGGCCAATTTTGATGTGGTTTCATGGTCTGAATCTCAGTGTTTCATAGGGATCATATTTTACATTGAAAAAAGGGATGAAAGTCTTGTAAAATTGGCTTTGGCTAAAGGCATACTTGTAGATGGGTAAATAGGTACTCAAAGATTGTGAAACAATCCTTTTTTAATCCCTTCCTTCCCAGTTTGTGGGCAGCCACAAAGGCTTCACTTAGTTCCCCTTTTCCTTTAACTTACATATTTTGAAATAGTTCATTATTGCCCTTTAGCCAGAAGATATCAATACGATATGAAGAAAATGGGAAATAACCATAACATAACAATCATTTAAGCAATACAAAACACATCCAAACAAGAATCAAAACTAATTTGCTCTTAAATGTCTGAGCCAATGGAAAGTTTTGAAGGTAGTGCCAAAAAAGTGTCATGTTGCTATCAACTGAGCCTTTCTCTGCACCAGTGCACTAAAGAGATGATGATGATGATGATGATGATGATACACAATTCTGCTAAAGATGTTGCTAGAAAAATGCTTCTATAGCACACAGATTCTCTTAATGTCAATTACACACAAAATCTGCTATTGACTGAAGGCACTAAGCAAATAATACTCCCATCTTATTATTAATATAAATATTAACTCATAACTATTCTGCCACTTTTTAGTGGTTATCTGGGAACATATACACAAATAAGCATTCCTTTCTATCTATGTAAAATAGCTGCAATTTGAAATAAGTTTCTGTGTGTGAGAAGGAGAAAAAAAAAAGCAATAGCTATTGTGCGCACATGCATTAGATGGACATGTGCAAAGTTTGGGAACTTTTTAAAAAAATGCAGATATTCACACACACCCAAATTCATATGCACCCCTAATATCCAGTTCTGGCCAGACAATCTTTGCAGATAGCTTCTTTCCCTCCTTGAGTATGTGTTTCTTTATTTTTCTTTACTTTAAGAGGAATGTTCTAAGGAAACAAAGGCGCTGGGAGAAGATTGTTTCTGCAAAGAAGGACAAAAGAAAATGTGAGAGAGAACGACGTAAAGCAAAGCATGCTGAAGAAAAAGGTACAAGAAACACAGAATAATTTCTATTTCCATCTTCTACAGAAGTGGTTTGCTATCTGTATTCTGAAGTTTGAAGGAACTTTACTGAGGTTCTTCTGTGAGGAGATCCATAATGGCGGATAGGTCTTCTGAAAGAGGATTCCCTACTACAACTACTATTTTGTAATATTCACATATAAGCAAGTGTAGGGCAGGCTGGGCAACATTTTTTTCTGGGGAGGTTTTGATCTATGGGCACTTTCAAAGATGTTATTGCTCCTCTGCAAAATCATGGCTTACACCACACCTGTACATTTAACCTAGTTTAATAGTGAACAACCAGAGGGTCTCTTTTACTTTTCTTTCTTCCATTTCAGGCACTGCTCCTCAACTTAGTAAGCGAGAGCTAAAAGTGATTGCAAAAGATCGTCTTCTGGAGGCCAAGGCAACAGGGCCTCGGCTGTGTATTGATATGAGCTTGACCAGTCACATGACTAAGAAGGTAACTATATATGTTTGCTCTTTTTCAAAAAACAAGGAATTTGATTTTCAGGACTGGGTGAGTGTGCCTCTGCTCTTCAATACCTATTGCACAACACTTTGAAGAGGATGCATTCAGTAATATTATTTGCTGTATTAATTGAAGAATTGTACTCCATAAGACTAGAAATGTGGAAGTGAACATTTGATTCTTCCTCATGAGAACAGTAGAAAGCTTCCTGCACATTTAAGCCTGGATTGGAATCTGACCTCCTAGTTTTATAGGTGCAGGAAACTCTACCTCTGCAGCATCCATGGAGAAGGAGAGTGTGCCATTGAGTCTGGTATTGTTGAATGAAGGGTGAGGGAGTCATATTTTGTGAGAGATTTTAGGCCTTGCACTGTGGCTAAGCCCTCTTACACTTGGGGGACATTGAGGTTGGCAGGATTTTAAGCACAGTTTGTACTCTTGAAATGGGCAGGAAGTTGAATGGAGAGGACTTTGCTTATGAGCCACTGAAAGGCAATAGGTGAAAGGAGTGTTCTGTACTAAATTTGATGAGGACAATGTTGCAAGAGGATCAAAATGTGTATTACAACCACATATGGGAGAGCTTGAAGTCCAGTGTTTTGAGGTGCTCATAAACAGCTTTTTTTGTTTTTTTGGTTCTTTGAGTCAGTCTTGATTCCTGGCGACTGCCTTGCTAAGTCCTTAGAGTTTTCTTGGCAAAATTTTCAGAAGTGGTTTGCCCTTGCCTCCTTCCCAGGGCTAAGAGAGAGAGGGACTGGCCCAAGGTCACCCAGCTGGCTTTGTGCCCACGGTGGGACTAGAACTCACCATCTCCCGGTTTCTAACCTGGTGCCTTAACCACTACACCAAACTGACTCTGTAAACAGCTATTGCTCTGTAGGAGATTTAGAGCAGTTACATCAGCCCTGAAATAAAACTGCAAGAAATTTGAGGGTTCTTTGATTCATATGATTTCATCATGTCCCTCCATGGCTCTTTTTTGACTTCAAGTCATTAAATATATTAATATAAATTGGGGGGGAAACTTAACAATTAAAGATGTAAACATAAAGTTGAGCTATGCTCCCAAATTCTCATATGGAATTTGACATTTTATGGAGAACTCTGACTCTGTCAAGCCTGGAGTTTGGCAGAGAATTATTCTATCTTGGTGGAAAGAAATGTGTAGTCCTGATGTTAAAGAGTGGATTCCAGACATATGTTCCATATTATGAATTGTCTTTACTGTATACTGCAAAATGAGAAGATGGGTCAATATGTTTCTATATGGTCTAGTTTTAAGAATATGTTAATTAACCTAGTTCTATATACATCTCTTTTCTCCTTGAGTTTTAATTTACTTTAATCACTATTATGTATTACTTCCTTTTTTATTATCCTATCAGTATGTTGTTATTATTATTATTATTATTATTA